AAAAGTAAAAAGAATAAAAAAAAAAAAACCAATGCCGTTTATAATTCTAGTTATCTGTAGGTTTAGCTGAAAGTGAGAGTGGTTTATACATAATAACAAGGGCATTATTTGAAACCTTAAAATTTATACCCCCATAATATGCTGAAATAAAAAAAAATTAAAAATACAAATAAAAAAAATAAAACAATGCCATTTATTGTCGTAGTTATCTGTAGGTTTAGCTGAAAGTGATGATGGTTTATACATAATAACAATGGCTTAATAAGTAGGATGGATGTTAATCTCCCTCACTTAATCTTGGGCAGTCAAGGCTGGTATAACAAGCAGCTCAGTCTGTATTGCTCCACCATCCTCAAGTTGTGCTTCTGGAGTTAGTCCAGGATGGCTGCTCCAGCTCTCCCCAGCGAGTACAGCAAATGGCTAGCAGGAAGGAATTAAAAAAAAAAAAAAAAAAAAAAAAGGAGTACGCACCTATCTCTTTAAGAGCTTGAGTTGGGAGGAAGGTGGAAGTGCCACTCACAGTGTGTCCATTGGCTAGCGCCCAAGTCAGGTGGTAACATCTAGGTGCAAAGGACGCTGGGAGATGTAGTCTTTGTTCTGGGTGGCCATGTGCATACCTACAATTTAGCTTCTGTTACTGAAGAAGAAAGGGAGAATGGATCTGGGAGGGGGTGGGCAGTGGGACGCAAGGAACTACTTTATAGGCTCATTCATACTTAACCGGAGCTATAACTATCTTCAGGAAAGCTTGGGCCGGGCGAGGTGGCTCACGCCTGTCATCCCAGCACTCTGGGAGGCCGAGGCCGGTGGATCGCTCAAGGTCAGGAGTTTGAGACCAGCCTGAGCAAGAGCGAGACCCCTGTCTCTACTAAAAATAGAAAAAAATTAATTGGCCAACTAAAAATATATAGAAAAAATGAGCTGGGCATGGTGGCGCATGCCTGTAGTCCCAGCTACTCGGGAGGCTGAGGCAGGCAGGGAGGATCGCTTGGAGCCAGCGAGTTGCGCACGGTTTCTGCTGAGCGGGCGCTGACGCCATGGCACTCTAGCCCGGGCAACAGAGTGAGACTCTATCTAATTAAAAAAACAAAAACATTTTACATGAAAAGTTCCTTTGAGGCAATTGTAGGAATGTTCTAGGAGCAGGATTTGGTCAACTGAGTCAGGCTGTCGGCAAGCAACCAAGAACCCTCTGAGCCAGCAGAAGGACCCAGGGCCGTTTGGGGTGCCTGCCCTAGTAGAATGCCTGGCTGCATTCTTACCCAGTAAGCTCTCAGCGTCCTCCCTTGATAGGTTCTTGGAAATGACCTTAAGCAAAACGACTTACAGAAAGTCCTGGAGTAATATTACTTTGTTCAATGTTGTTTGGTTACGACATTGAAGAGAAAAAAATTGGTGTTGTTATCCATCATATCGTTTTGCTTCGAGTCACAGTTTCCTTTTTCTTTTTTTTTTTTTTTTTTTGAGACAGAGTCTCACTTTGTTGCCCGGGCTAGAGGGCCATGGTGTCAGCCTAGCTCACAGCAACCTCCAACTCCAGGGCTCAAGCAATCCTCCTGCCTCAGCCTCCCGAGTAGCTGGGACTGCAGGCATGCGCCACCACGCCCAGCTAATTTTTTCTATATATATTAGTTGGCCAATTAATTTCTTTCTATTTATAGTAGAGACGGGGTCTCGCTCTTGCTCAGGCTGGTCTCGAACCCCTGACCTCAAGCAATGGGCCCGCCTCGGCCTCCCAGAGTGCTAGGATGACAGGCGTGAGCCACTTCGGCCGGTCTGGGAAAACCTATTTCTAAAATTTATATACTAATTAACAAAACTTGGGACATGCATAGGCGGTAAAGATAAAGAGAGCCAAAGCTATGTATGGGCTTTTCTCGAAGGCGGCCTTCTGATTAAATGCCAGCTGACTACCCCTGTAGTATGAGCTCTCAATTTAGGGCACTTGACTAGCCGTAAGGTATAATAAGCCTAATATTTGTTTTATGCTATCTAAATTGGAATGTGTTAAGCTAAATGACAGATACGATGGTGTCATAAAATTCCAGGTCTCCCTTAGTCCACAAATGTGCCAGTAATCCATGTTCATGTGTGCAACTGGCTTCCTTTTTGTTTTATTTAAAACTCTTTCTTTTTTTAAAAAAAACTCTTTTCTCCTCCTTCCTCTCACCTGCCACCCGTTCCTTCTGCTCCTCCCCCGAAGCCATCATGAAAAGCCTGGAGCTTTGGAACTGTCCGTGGCCTCAGACACAGAGACAAGGAAGAAAGCCTTGAGGGACAAAAACAACCCAGGGATCAGCCAAGGACAGACTCGCCATTAGACTGGCTTAGCCAGACTTGTCAAAAATGATCCTCAGAATTTTTCAGTTTTTATTTTACCAGGCCATGTGCAATTTTACAATAGGAGATTCTTTTTAATTACCCAGCCTCTTTTTAAAAAAGAAAATAGCCTCATTGCATTTCCAGGTATATTTGTCATCTACCTGTTGGGTATGAATCATCGGGTCTAGATTGCTTTTTTTCCTAGAGTAAGTGAAAATTTAATTCTATGATGTTAAACTGGCTCTTCTAATCCTAACCACCAGACCACCAGGGACCAACGAACTGGCTCCTCTATAGGGCTGCTGCTTTTCTTGGTTTCGAACCCCTGACCTTGATCGATCCTCCTGCCTCAGTCTCCCACGTAGCCGGGACTATAGGCATGTACCACGATGCCTGGCTAATTTTTTCTATATATATATTAGTTGGCCAATTAATTTCTTTCTATTTATAGTAGAGACGGGGTCTCGCTCTTGCTCAGGCTGGCTTTGAACTCCTGAGCTTGAGCGATCCTCCTGCCTCAGCCTCCCAGAGTGCTAGGATTGCAGGCGTGAGCCAGTGTGCCTGGCCTTTGTGGCTTTTCTTAAGAACTAAGATCTGCTGCCATGGGAAAGGGGAAATGGGGAGAACTTGAAGTCTCTAGAAGTGGCAAGTCACAGTCGGGGTGCTCAGAGCAGCACGCAGTTTACTGGGTGGCTGGGAAGGAGAATTGTACAAAAATAATGGCAGGTTGCTCAAAACAAACGTTGCTTACGGCACATTTTTGCCTGTTTTTGGCCTGGACCTCAGGAAGGGAGAAAGGCCTCTCTCCTCCCTCTCTCCTGCCTCTCTTAGTTCTCACCGCTCGGATAAATGTTGGGAAGAGTTAGAGGCAGCTCATTTGGTTAAAAGAGGCTTATGTGGACAGTTCTAATTGGGACCTAATGACAATGTATTATCTCATTTCATGAAAACTTCCAACAACTGAGCCCCTGGGTAATGTGTGCATCACAGTCTTATTTATTTATTTATTTAGAGACAGGGTCTCACTCTGTTGCTCGGGCTAGAGTGAGTGCCGTGGCGTCAGCCTCGCTCACAGCAACCTTAAATTCCCGGGCTCAAGCGATCCTCCTGCCTCAGCCTCCCGAGTAGCTGGGACTACAGGCATGCGCCACCATGCCCGGCTCATTTGTTCTATATATTTTTAGTTGGCCAATTAATTTCTTTCCACTTTTTTAGTAGAGATGGGGTCTCACTCTTGCTCAGGCTGGTTTCGAACTCCTGACCTCGAGCGATCCTCCCGTCTCGGCCTCCCAGAGTGCTAGGATGACAGGCGTGAGCCACCGCGCCCGGCCTCACAGTCTTATTTTTAAGTTGAGGCCTTGCCAGTGGGCTGTGTGTGTGTGTCTTAGATCCGACTCTAGAAGCCAGACAGACCGTCGCAATGTTTTCGGGAGGCAGGTGTGTGTATGGAGGTCAAGTTCTGGCCTTGAGTTCACTGGCTAACCTACGGTCATCCATCATCCTGGAAAGGACTTGGTAAACATTCATGGTCAACTGGGTTAAAGTTAAACAGGCACAGTAGAAAGTAAGCAATTTCTCCGTCCTCCCTCTCCCAGGAGTTAAAATCTAAAACATTAGATTAGGACTAATCTAATGGCCTGTCTCCGTGGCCCTGTCTCCGTGGCCCTGTCTCCTCCCAGCTCTCCCCATTGGTTGTTTCTCTGTGCGGGGCCAAAGCGGGACAGGTCGCAGAGCCACCCGGGTACCCGGGCGGGTCTGCCTTTCCCCCACCCTGGAGAGAGTGCAAAGATTTATGGGCTCCGGGCGAAGGAATGCTGCCTACCCAGGCATTCGACTCCTGGGCGAATGCAATTTACGATTTTGTTGTTTGCTTGATTCTGACTCTGTTTTCTAACATGGCAGATTATAAATACTGGAAGTATAATGCTTAGAATGAAAATGTAACTTGTGAAACATAGGGTTAGATTTGAATAAAGCTTAACCTGTTGATGATTAAGAAATGTACCCACCCATTTACTCACACCATTTCTTGTGTATATATTTGAAATTTTCCGTATGGTTTTCCAGGAGGTAGATGAAAAACCAGTATTTTGTTTTCCCTGGGGAAAAACATAGGGAAATAATAGGGAATAAATAATCCCTTTCCTAAGGGAAATAATGCCAGTGTCAATAATCCTTGTTTCAATCCAAGTATTTAATGCAGCAGCCCTACCTTCTAAAAAGAAACTCAGTAGGGGGCTTTTGTTATTTTATTTTATTTTATTTATTCATTTTTGCAGCCAGAGTCTCACTCTTGTTGCCCCAGCTAGAGTGCTGTGGCGTCAGCCTGGCTCACAGCAACCTCCAACTCCTGGGCTCAAGCGATCCTCCTGCCTCAGCCTCCCAAGTAGCTGGGACTACAGGCATGCGCCACCATGCCCGGATAATTTTTTCTATATATTTTTAGTTGGCCAATTAATTTCTTTAATAGAGACGGGGTCTCGCTCTTGCTCAGGCTGGTTTCGAACTCCTGACCTTGAGCGATCCTCCTGCCTCGGCCTCCCAGGGTATTAGGATTACAGGCATGAGCCACCATAAAATTTTCCATATGGTTTTTTGTAGTAAGATATAGGTAGATGAAAAACCAGTATTTTGTTTTCCATGGGGCAAAATATAGGGAAATAATTCTAGTTTTAATAATCCTTGTTTCAATCCAAGTATTTAATACAGTAGCCCTACCTTCTAGAAAGAAATGGAGTGGCCAGGTGTGGTGGCTCATGCCTGTAACCCTAGCACTCTGGGAGGCCGAGGCGGACAGATTGGTCGAGGTCAGGAGTTCGAGAACAGCCTGAGCAAGATCGAGACCCCGTCTCTACTATAAATAGAAAGAAATTAATTGGCCAACTAGTATATATATATAGAAAATAATAGCCGGGCATGGTGGCGCATGCCTGTAGTCCCAGCTACTCGGGAGGAGGCTGAGGCAGGATAGTAAGAACGGGGGTCTCGATCTTGCTCAGGCTGTTCTCGAACTCCTGACCTCGACCAATCTGTCCGCCTCGGCCTCCCAGAGTGCTAGGGTTACAGGCTGAGCCACCACACCTGGCCACTCCATTTCTTTCTAGAAGGTAGGGGCTACTGTATTAACTTGACTTGAAACAAGGATTATTAAAACTAGAATTATTTCCCTATTTTTGCCCCATGGAAAACAAAATACTGGTTTTTCATCTACCTATATCTTACTACAAAAACCATATGGAAATTTTATGGTGGCTCATGCCTGTAATCCTCAATACCCTGGGAGGCGAGGCAGGAGATCGCTCAAGGTCAGGAGTTCGAAACCAGCCTGAGCAAAGCGAGACCCCGTCTCTACTATAAATAGAAAGAAATTAATTGGCCAACTAAAAATATATAGAAAAATTATCCGGGCATGGTGGCGCATGCTGTAGTCCCAGCTACTTGGGAGGGC